CGGATCGATTCGTTTGGCCTCGAATTCGGAATTCGGAGGCCTCGCGTCCGTCCCCTCGCGGCCCATCTGCCCCTGGAGCCCGCGATTCGCAGAGATGCCCCGCGCCACTTTGGCACGGGGGCTCGAGTGCGGATTCGCGGGAACTGCTTCGGGGCCCAAAGGAAGGGAATCTCTCACGTGTTTCGGGACGACCCCTAAATGCTTGTCCTTTTGGATTCCCTTTGAGAACTCAAGGTGGGAAGACATGATTGTCCTTGGAGCGCGACACTGTGTCACCCCGTGCAAGGTGCCCCAAGGGTTGCAAGCCTGGTTCCCACATGTGGTTTGAACAAGAGTGTAGCATGTTTGACCCAAGCTGACCCAAGCCCTGAGTGACCTTCAAGGTTTGGAGCAGTCTCTCAGCCTGCCTTGGTACAGGGCAGTGCCCGGAACTTTGATAGGGGATTTTGCTTGTCAAGTCAAACCTGCAACAAATCCGCATGACACTTGAGGTCACACGTCACTGGCACTGTCACAGGGGTTCTGATTTGAATCATGCATCCAAGAGTCCAAGAGCCTGATGCAAAAGGACCTGCGAGCATAATATGCCGGCCATCAACAGAACCACTTGTTCACTACGCCGGCACCAGGAAGCACAGCACTCGCGTTAAATTGATTGAACACATATGTGTTTTGAATGATTGAAACAAAGAAGAAGAACACCTGGATGATGAGACACTGAACAAATCTGCGACTTCGGACTTCGAAAGTTGGTTTTGATCGTGTTGCAGTGCTCAGGTCTTCCAGTCGTCCCAGGACCTTCAGGCTTGGCGCCAAACAAGAGCGCCAGAGGAAGTAAAGGCATTGTTCTCTGTTCGGATGGACCTTGCCATTATCCATTCGCATGCAATCACCGATGCAGTTGTTTGAAGTTTGGTTGTTCTCATCTATGCAGCATGTTTCCTGCAGTCTACAGGGTATCAATTTTCAGGTTGGGTCAGGGAAATCAAAAGGAGGTTACCATGGCTGGGCTCCAGATCCCATTCTTGACTACCGGATCGAGCATGCCGGATGCAAGCGCTGTTAGGACGAGGAAGACGTGCCTCCCGCGGCCATGCTGCGCTTGGATTGGAAGGCTTGGACGAAACTTCAAAATTTCATCGGCCATCCCTCACTCTCCGTGAGTTTCTGCACTTCAGTTTAGTAAAGCGAATTAGGTGGTAAGAAAAAAGTTCAGACTTGTTTCTCCCATTGCCGCTTAGGAGTGAAATCCACTGGCACGCAACCTCATTTTCCTCTGAAAGGGAACCCTCTAATGGATTACATCTTCAACTCGCTTGCTTCTTGCGGCGCAGGCGTATGTGCCACAGAATTCTGGGGCGCTGGAGCCTGTGCGGCGCCATCAGGCAGGGCTCGGAATCGGAAGGTCTGTCACACAGTGCGGCTTCGAACCAAACTATGGCCGGCAATCAACTCCACAGGGCTAGGCACTTGGTCAAGGGGAGTCTTGCGCTTTCCTTTTTGTAGCGGCCCACCTCAGGACCTCAGACCCCTTGTGACAGTGTCGCATGGGGAGCTGTATTTGGGTTTATGGACCCCGACAAACAAGGATCGACAAAAAGCCCCCCGTTCGAAAACGGTCACTGAAGATTCTGTCCAGGTGCGCTTCAGACGGGTGCGGCCGGCGGCAAAGGCGTGCAGCGATTTGTCGCAGCAAAGCAGCTGTAAACTGTGTTGTGTGTGTGTGTGCGCGTGTGCGTTTGGGAAAAACATATGTGTATAAAATAGTATACAATTATATATATGTACATATACTAATCCTTGTGTTATGTGGGCGACCCTCTATGCTCTATGGGTTCCAACAAATGTGGGCTCTGCTGGAACCTCTGGTTAGAACCCGCTTAGGGGTCTCTGAGGCTTTTCAGGGCCATGTCGATGCGTTTTTGTTTGCTGTGAGACGCACCTCGTGCCCCAGTCCACAAAAAGTGATCAACCGGTCGCTGAACAACTGGGGTTTTGTTTTTGAGAGAAACCCAGGAGAAGCCACTCATGTCGAGTTTCCCCATTTGAGGAGCCAACCCCCCTGTTATATGATATATACATATATTTAATATATATATATATATATATAGAGTTAGGTAACATGTAAAACATATATATTGACCTTCTATTTGGTCACTTTTGGGGGCTTTTGAGCGGAGAAAATGAGGAAATGACTCGACACATGGACTAAATCGAGCGGACACTGGCGGAAATTGCTCAGAAATCAGCGGAAAGTGAGCGGAAACTAGCGGACACCCAACAGAACCATTTCTCAGTTGAGTGTTCTGCATGATTTGCGCGTGTACTCTGAAATGTGTTTTTGGCTCGACGCGGAAACATCAGAAGGGTTGTACTCCGAGGAGGATCTAGGCTTATATACATGCATACATACATACATACATACATACACACATACAAACATACAAACATACAAACATACAACCATACAAACATACATACATACATACATACATACATACATACATACATACATACATACATACATACATACATACATACATACATACATACAAATACGCTCTCCGGGAAGCCAAGCACAAGCAGGTGATCAGGAGCTTTCGTGTGGATTCCTGCATGTGCGCTCCATTCCGGACCGGTCATTTTTCTTCCTCTCTCGGGGAGGGTTGCAAATCAGGACATCATCACGGTTAGTCAGGGAAGTCTTGGCCAGTGACCAACAAAACATACGGGCATATGAGTGCAAAGCTGTTTCTCTTGCAGCATGCAGCCTGAACGTCGGTACGGGCTTTGAGGCTTTGATGAACTCCGTATTGGTGTAGTAGTACTTTAGAGTTTTGATTCTAAAGTGGATTTGCTTTGTTAAGCCTAGCGTGCGCAAAGCAACCTGCAAAAAGAAAGAATATTCCCACGTCTGGCGGTTTTACCTTTGTAACCCCAACGAAGTCTAGACTACTGATGTTGATTGCTGCTGCACACGAAGCGTACCGAAGGCTTGATTCTTAAAAGCTATTTTTTTTTTCTTTGCCTTTGGATTTGTTTGTCTGACTGAGGATTAGCAAAGCAAAGCAAAGCCGTCTGCAGCGACCCCGCTGATTTTGGACGCTTCATCAACAAGCGCCTCAAAACAAAACTGAGGGATTTTGCTTGTTTTCATTGTCTCCGTCAATTCCAACACTGCAAGAATCAGCGCATCCTAGCACCTGCGGCCACGCACACTCGTTTTTTTTTTTTTTTTTCTCAGCTTGGCATAATTGCTGGTTGGCTCCCTCACCGGCGATCAGCACGTCTTTGTGTTGAGCTCTGCCAGCCGGCCTGAAAGACCGTGCGATTGCCGATCTACGTATCCTTTCCAACCGCCGTCTAGCACCAGGGTACCCGTGACATCAGCTTTGCCCAGCTCGGTTGTTGCTTTCCGAAGCCCTGTGGTAAACCGAAGCTTGGAGCAATGCAGCTTGCGTTTTCGGCGCCCTTTCTTCCACGCCAGTTGCCATATGCGTACACCTGGCTCTTGGCGCAATGCCTAGCAGCAAACGCAAGTCAGAACAACATCCTCAAAAAAGGACTTACGCGGTGGCCTGGAACTTGCACGCTTGCTCGGCATCAAAGGTGAAAGCAACATTCCGCCACGCGCGCGCTGAGAAGCACCAAAGTCGCGCTCATACATCAGAGCGTGCTCCATGTCAGCAGTTCAAGCATGCTGGCTTTCCATTACGGGACGAGCGTGAAATGATGAGAAGGATCCAGGCGCCTGTATGTTTCTGGCAACGCGCACCTGCGCGGGCAAAGAAGGCAGCGTTTGAGAAGAACATGGCAACTCTGTGAAGCTCTGAAACCACACGGCACTCTGCGCACAAAAGCGCGGCCAAGATCCATGCCGGGCCTTCGGCTGACAGATGTAAAGTTATCCAAATACGCGCCTGAGCGACGAAACCGACAATCGAGCTGACTAGCTCGCAAGTGGCGCCGACGCAAGCCTCCACAAAATCATGAGGCACAAGGACAAAGGTTTGGATTCTTTCAATGACGAGCCCGAACTAGTCAGTGTGACACATCAACGCACGCGCAGGCGAACGTCTTATGACTACTCATGCAAAGGGGTGACGCCCTTAGCTGCGTTATCAACAAAAGGTGAAATAGTCAGCTCCAGCGTTTTCTTTCTCAGGGAGGAGGCCACATGTTTTCATGATTCGAACAAGCCTCACATGGGAGCGTTCATGTCACGAAGCCTTGCTCGGCTTCAGGAACACTGCCAAATGTACTTGTTCTACTCAAGGTTGTTTCACGATTTACTTTTCATGGGTCCACAGGTTTTATGTTCTTGTATTTGATGTTCTCTTCCGCTTGGAAAAGGTAGCAATGTAAAACTACATAATGAACACCGGTTGTTCTACGTTTTAATTCTCAAGGGTCCAAACAATTGCTTGTAGTTTTTACTTCTGCTGAGTGGTAAATCTGCTTGAACTAAACGCAAACTTTACTTGGGCGCTTTTCTTGTTTGCTTTTCAGGGGGCTGAAAGTGTCACCTTTACTTGTTTTGCGTGTCTCCAAAAATAGTGAAAGATAAACTCTCAGTAGAAGCATGCCCCTTCATCGAGTTCTTTTGCCAGGTTTTGGTTCGGGTTATGATTCCAAACCAGCCCATGTGCGTGAGACTATCAGTTGCCAGGATGAGAGCTGGCAGGAGCCCGCCTCTCAGCATCAAACACATGGAGAAGGTGGAGGACAAGACATGATCGTTTCGGGACCAAGTTCTGTGTCCAGGGGCCTACTTTGGCATTGCAGGTTTCGGGCGATGCGGACTCCGATGTGGCGATGATTTTCCATGGAGAACACATTGCAACCAGGGCGCGGCGGGTAAATCCAGCAAGGAAATGTCACGTTTACCAAACGGTCCCCAAAGAAGCGCACCCAAAAAGGTCGCGGCTGCACATGTTGGTTTGATGGTTTCTCTTGGGCACCTCTAACCAGCATTGGGATGCCTTTGAGTGCTTCTCGAAATGGTGTACCCCCCTTTGGTATGGCTTTAAAGTGCCACCAACTGGAAACCCGCAAGACACCACCTTTAGGGACCATTATTTTTAGAGGGAAACCGAAAGAAAGACTACAAGGGAAGCCGAGAGGAAAACAAAGGAATACCTTCAGATCACCGAACGGCGAAAGCAACCACCATTTGCGGGGCCACTACTTTGAAAGACGCCCACTTAAAGACTTTCACCTGCGTATATCGCAAATCCTGTTGGTTTTCTTTTAAAGCCTTCCCACAAAGGGACTGCAAAAGCACACACACACACACAAACACCTAGGCTTGCGCCCTTTGAGCGCTTCGTGGATGAGAGCGCCAGCCTGCACGAGGAGATCTCTCTGGCACGGTGCTCGATCGATTGGTGGACGTCGTTGTGAAAAACTTAAGGCCCAACAAAACGCCACGACCAGATGAAATTAAAACGGAGTTCATCCAATGTCGGAACCGGAGCAGCAGACGGCGCCTGCTTACTTAATACAACCAAGTCCTTATCGCATAGCCACAGATATCCTGACTACCCTTGTTTTGCTGCCATTGTTTCCATTCACAACTATTGACCAGTTGCGCTGTTGCAAACCGTTTACACAATCTTAGCGGTGATGACCAAGATACGGCCAGAAAAAGCGCTGAAACCATCGCTGCCCAAAACTCAATATAAACAGCGCTGGCGATCTCCTGGCTAGGTGCCGTATGGATATCGCGTAAAGACAGGGGAACGAACCTCACACTAGTGTGACGCCGTTTAGTTAGTTGGGGAGACATCTTTTGATAAGGGCAACCAAGCAAAGCTGGTAAAGATAAAGGAGAAGAAAGAGCACGCCACAACTACCACACCTACGTGTACCTGAGCGTACGCTAAACTTTTGTGTTCCAGAGACAGGAGACCGGCATACGGCAGGGTTGCACCCCGTTCTCCTTATCTTGTCGGCGTTGTTATGATAGCCGTTTTCCAGGATATCTAAGCGGAACTTAGCACCCCGAAGCAACTACAGCCTTTCCCTGACATAACATCCGGGTAAGTCCTTTACGCGGACGACACTCTCCTCTTTGTAACGCACACGCAAACAAAACAAACTGCTCAGGCACTTTGACAAGTGCGGTGTTCTGACTATCAATGGAAAACAGTCCACCATACAGGAACGCAGGTTCCTTGAACCCCCCCCTTTGACGGACGTTGTCCAGAGAGAAGTTATCAAATGAATCGGAGAGGCACAGCAGCTGCAAACAAACTACATTTGTTCTAGTCACAAGCTCTAACCACGAAGGACCGTGTCATTGACACGATTGCTATACGTAAACTGCTCTATATCTTTTAAAGTATACAGATAATGAGACGTGAGCAGGACAGGCTGGATCATAAAATGCTCAGGCGCATACTGCAGGTGCCGCCCGCGCAGCTGGATAGAACATGGGCAAGCCAAAGAGCTGTACACAATGCAACGCAGACACAGAGCTCATAGCATTTCAACAAGAAAGCTAGACAACTTCTACCGGGGCGCCTCTTCGAGCCTCAAGTGCTGACCCCATTTTCGAGAGGTCCGGTTGCCCGACATAGGACAGGAGCACCCTAGGCGCGGAGGAAAACCCAAGCTCACTGGCTGCTGGAAACCCTGCAAGATGCTTGCACACAGATCCACCCGGACCAACAGTTTGACGTCAGCCGAGTATGGATATACTAGTCGAGGCAGCGCGTCTTGGGGGTCTCCCCTTCCATGTAAGAAGATGAGAGACTTTCAACGATAGCGAACAACCGACTGAACGCTTAGATGAGCTGCCACTGAGTCAACAAAAGCGTCATTGAATAGGGCTGTCTGAGGCGGGCCCAGACTTCCTCTTCGGCGCAGATTATGAGGCAGCAACGGCATTTGATGGCGAGCAATTCCACCCTTCCAAGGGTACCCCCTACAGATTAATGTTGCATCCAAAAAGAGGGTTCCCGCAAAGAAGATCCTCCAAAAAGAACAATTGTTGGGTTCTATGTTAACCTGCAAGGGGGGTAAAAGGAGTGAACAACCTGCTTTCAAGTTTTGGACTTATTCTAGAATCATGATTGTATGATGTCCGCTGCTTCTTGTAGTGGTTTCCCCCCAACATCTACGTGTACATCCCCACCCCATTAAACATGGAATTGGAGGAGGGGGGTGACCCCTGGAATTCCTTTTATGGTTCCATTTGCCCTTTATGGGGAAGACTAGATAAATGGAATTGGGGGGGGACCCCCCACCCCCGCTCCACCTTTTGGTACGGGGGGGGGACATGTGCACCTTAGAACAGCAGGGCAGAAGCTGTTGCTGCTACCCACAGTGCTTTGCTTGGATATCGGTACTCTCGAGACGAGAGCTTGGTGGATGTTTATTTTTTTGCAGAGGTGGAACCACCTCAAAAGTGGTTGGTGGACATGCATCCGCACGTAAATGATGGCCACCAAAGGGCCCCAAATAAAAGGACTACCAATATGTTGTTGCATCGGTGTGGTAGGTCTGCATGCGCATGGGCACCTCTCTTCGCTGGGGCGGCTGGTCCCTGCCAGAACCGGTCAGCCGCGTGCTCAGCGGCTCAGGAGTCACGGAATGAGGGAAGGAGCTCTAGTCAGTTGCCATGCGCTTCGACCCTGATTGGACAGTTGCTGCCCAAATGCCCTATTGAAGCCCTTGTTGTAGGTGGTTCTACCGTTCTACCTGGTTAGTTTAGGTTATAGCCCATGCGGGCGTTTCTCAACATAGGGGTCCCCTGTTGCAACGGTTTGAAGAGGAACCCCAAGCACCTGCAGAACTTGGTCCCTGCTGAGAAACTCCCATGCTATGAGTTGTAATAGGCAGACAAAAACAACAACAAAAAAAACAACGGCGGGACATGAATCTTTACCGAGCTCTGTCCACCATGTGGGGTTCCCCCTATCAGGTTACCCAATTAAAGCTCATGCCCTGGAGCCAAAGGACTCGCCCCCCCCCCCCCCCCGATCTGAGGCTTAGCCATCCATCCCCCGCAGCCAGCCGGCACCTTGCAGCTCGAGGATCTGCGGCTGGCAGCGCCAGTCTTAGCGATGGAGCGGACGACAAGCACACATGGCCGTGGGTCAAAACCAATGGGATCCCATTGTGGGGCAGGTGCACCGCCCGTTTTTAGTCGATTTTGATGGGGAAAAAGGGATGTTCACTGGGGGTACGGGATTTTGACCCATGGGCATATTGGTCGTCTACAGTCAGTTCTGTGGACGAGAAGGCCCCAAACTTCAGCGACATACATCTGAAAACAATCGAAGTTTCCCGCGTCCTTTTTGGGAACAAAGAGATGCTTCGGTCACATGGAGCTGATGAACTGGACCTTCCTTGCTTCGTGTTTCACCATGACGCTCGCAGCGGGCGCTTTGAGCAGGAAGAACAACTGGATGGTCCTTCCGAGAGTGGATCAAGTTCAATCCAACGCAACCTGACATGCTTAGGATCACTTCCCATGTCAAGGCTTGTTGGCGGCATGGTTGCTTCATCGGCTTAGGATGGAGCAACCTTCTTCAAGCTGACCTGGCCTGCTTTCGACACGCCTGGATCCAAGTCGACGGCGCGCGGCAAGTTACCTCCTATGTTTCCTACGAAGCCATGCACATAGTTTCACTCTCAAAAGTTCGAGCATTCAACCTCTATGTCACAACATTGGGCGTAGCTTCCGAAGCCAGGTGAACCGATATCTGCGAGTCAAGCACGGGCGCTTTCAATGCTGTAATTACAGTCCTGACATTGCTGATTCGACGCTGCACTCCGGCTGATTGCATGACAGCTTGCAGCAAGGGCGACGCTCAAGCAACTCTTCGCCTGCTTCGCAGCTGCAAATTAAGGCATCCCTTGTGCAACCTCATCGAGTACCGGATCCGCATGCAGCGTTCGGAGCTCAAGCACTCTTGTTGGGTACTTATGTGTACAGCCTGGTGATGCCATGAGCCAGGGCTCCTCGCCCGGTTCCAAAGGACTATGTGCGCATCCCATCACCCATTTGTCATACTTAGAGTCACCCAGCTCAGATTTGCGGCACACGTACATTGTATTTCGGTAAGTGTCGTTCTGTCATGGTGATTTTGCTTAGGCCACCCGCTTAGTGCCCACTCGCCTGAGGGGTGTCACGCTTCAAGTACATGAGCCGCCTCTCTGCAGAAATCGCTGCCAGATCCGAGGCCATGCGCCGCCATTTCGCGTTTTGGTGTGTCCGTGTCTACGTGTTGAGTGTGTCTCTGAGGCGAGTGTCTTTGCGTATCTGTCGGTGTGTGTGTGTGTTAATGTGTGTGTGTGTGTGTTGATGTGTGTTGATGTGTGTTGATGTGTGTGTTCATGTGTGTTGATGTGTGTGTTGATGTGTGTGTTGATGTGTGTTGATGTGTGTGTTGATGTGTGTTGATGTGTGTGTTGATGTGTGTGTCTCTGTGTCTCTGTGTCTCTGTGTCTCTGTGTCTCTGTGTCTCTGTGTCTCTGTGTCTCTGTGTCTCTGTGTCTCTGTGTCTCTGTGTCTCTGTGTCTCTGTGTCTCTGTGTCTCTGTGTCTCTGTGTCTCTGTGTCTCTGTGTCTCTGTGTCTCTGTGTCTCTGTGTCTCTGTGTCTCTGTGTCTCTGTGTCTCTGTGTCTCTGTGTCTCTGTGTCTCTGTGTCTCTGTGTCTCTGTGTCTCTGTGTCTCTGTGTCTGTGTGTCTGTGTGTCTGTGTGTCTGTGTTTCTGTGTGTCTGTGTGTTTGTGTGCGTGTTGATGTTGCTTTTTTGGTGTGTGGTGTGTGTGTGTGTGTTGACGTCTTTGTGTACGTGTTTCATTGTGTTTTATGGGTGTGCTTGCACGTCTGACTCTTTGTATGCGTTGCTTCTGCACACTATACGAGGGACAACATTCATTTGTAGAGCAATGCATTGGGTAACATGCTGAATGTAGGTGGTTGAGGTCATAAACACATGGGGCGTTGGAAGACGAAAGCGATGAGTAAATCCGGATGCAGGATTGGAGAACAAGGTGGAAACACCCGACCATTGAACCATGTTTCAATACACGGCGTGCCTGCATCTGTGCCTCGGTCTTAGCGTGTTTATCTCTTTGCGTGTGGTGTGTGTGTGTGTGTGTGTGTGTTTCTTTGCGCCTCTCGGTGTGTGTCTCTGTGTGTTTGCTCGTGTGTGTGTGTGTCGCGGTCCTTTTCTTGATTTGAAAACCAGTTCTTCTTGCATTACTTCCCTTGATTGCTAAGGACGTGTTGTGCTGATTGGCTTGTTCTGTCACAGTAGCAGAGCTTTTCTGTAACATGCTTGGGCAGTTGGGAGCTGAGCTGGCATCCCCTCCTCTTCCAGAAGATATCTGTGCCAGGAGAGCCTTGCTGCGCAAGAGAAATCCTACGTGGTTGGCACGATTCGCTGGCTCCCCAGACGCAAGCACGTGCAAAAGGCCATGTCACAGGGCAACAACATCTCACAGCCAAGTCAACAGGCTTGGGCGGCTTGGGTATGTGCCATAGGGGGAAACCAAAAACTTGGCCAATGAAAGGGTGCCCTCCAAAAAGTCACCTCCCCGCGCCATGGGACCTCACAGAGTTGCTCGGAGCCAAAGGGTCAAAGGGCACGCTCCCTGGGTAAGAGGGATGACTCAAGCAAGCAAATTGGGGAGTTGCGAGAACGGGCTGGTTGCAGATTGGATACTCGTATCTTTGTGTTGCAACTGCTAGCAACCTGACATGACGCCAATACTTCGGAGCCGACTCTGGGGAGGCATGGGAAGTTCATGGCCCTTGGTCCTTGATGGCCAGTTGCACTGTCTGCAACGACTACACAAGTCGGGTCTGTCATTTTGGAGGGTACCCCTTTTTTAGGCACTCAGTCTGCACTGGCTCCCCTTTTTGCTCATCAGTATATGAACGGCACTGTCTCGATTGGCCTGCGCAGGCGTGCGTGTGCCGCAGAAGGATGGCCTAGCGAGGGGTTTTGGCGATGCCTACAAGGACCAGAGCGCCGCAAGAGATGGCTCCGCAACAGACTTGTGGTGCCAGGCGGATGAATATAATTGGCAACACGTGATCCATTTGGAGTCTGCAGGTGAATGTGGGTACATTTTGCACACATGGAGTGTTTGGGAATCTTCCTGGTGGAGCAACAGGGTGTTGTTTCATTCTAATCGGGATTTAGATTGCCTCCAACCGGACCAGATATGAGTGAGGATACGAATGGGAAAGGGAAGGAGTGGATAGTAGGTAAAGAGATGGCCCATTCCTCACTATAAGATCTTTGCAAAGGTGAGGAATGGAGATGTGAGGAGGGAACGAGTGACCGAGCGAACTAACTCTTTTTCTCTTCTTTGACGTCTTGATTGGAACGGAATGGAAAGAGAAATGGAAAAATATAGGCTCTCTTCATCCGTTCGTGAATTATATTGGAGAAGATTCCATGGGAAGGAGAGTCAACCCTTAGAAGCGATCCGTGAGCTGGGTTAATAGCGTCCACCTGCACCCCACTAACAAGTCAAATCAAACCAGGGGTTCATTAGACCACCCGGGCTCCCATCCTAGCCGGCCCTTTCTCATTCTTTTCAGAGATCCTTCCGTTTAGATGCCAAAGACCCAGGGGAAATTGCTGAATTGAATGGTTGAAGAGAATGGGGAGTCAACCCTTGGAGTGTTCTAGTCCGAAGTCCTGCCCGGACGAAGGACACAGAGAGGGAAGCTCTTGAGTTTGCGTTGGCCTCAGCCTATGCAGTGCGCGAAGTGGTGCAAAGACCCGCTTGCTCTGGATTACTTCAGGGATCATGGATGTGTTACGACGCTAGCCAAGAGTTTGACCACGCCCAAGTTTTATGTGACCCGTGTATTGCGTGTCACCCGTTTACCACGACCTGTAACATCGGAAAAGCATTCAAGCCGCCTGCGACTTGAGGTTTCGCAACGATCGGCCTGCAAATTTGAATGTCTCTAAGGGCAGTGGTATCTATATACATAGGTAATATGATTACATACACTCGACTTATCTTGTATTTGGGGCGTACGTGGGCCCTTGTCCAGGTGCACAGCATTGCTGCGGACCCTGAGTGTGGATACCGTTTCTTCGTGGATGCCAAGCACGAGCGCTACCGAGAAGTAGATGGACACCAGGAGTGGGAGCGCTTGAGTGACCGTTGCAGCATGCTGCAGCGTACATGGGGTGGTGTGTGTGTGTGTGTTTTCCCCAACAGCGGAGACGCTATGGGGTGCATATGCTCACTACAGGGGAATCACGAAAACCCTGCACATTTAAGCGAGTTGGGCGCGAATCTGGGCCCTGGCTGGCTGCTGGCTGGTGGCTGGGTGCTTGGCCGGCAACCCATTTGTCGACGTTCCAGCACGAGAAATCGCAGTTTGGAAGTCCAAAACCTGGCACGTGAAGTTATCTCTCTCTCTCTCTCTGTCTCTTCCCTAGCGCAGATAGAAAACTGGAACTTATATGAACTTATGTGCAAAGGTCGTCCATGAAGCACTCCGCAGATGCGGCTCGAAAATTGCAACTGTGACCTACGAAAGTTGCCTGAGTAGTGGCGGTTGCCTTTCTAAAACTGGGTGTCTTTTTCATGAGCAGTTTGGCCAACCGCGTTTCCGCCTTGAAGCAGTTGTAACAATCCAGAGCACTCTGTGAAAATCACTCTTCCCAAGTCATTCTGCGCAAGTCTCGTTGCATGTCACTCTGCTCAAGTGGCTCTATGCATTTCACTCCACGCAAGCCGGTGAGACCAAGTCATTCTGTGAGTGACTCTGCGCGAGTCACTCTACGCAAGTCTCTCCGCGCCAATCGCTCTGCGGAATTTGCGCTCTCCGCAAGTCAAGTTATCCTTGTCATGACGCGCAAGTCTGCGGCAAGTTATGCTGCGCAAGTCACTCCTCCCAAGGTGCTCGTCGCAAGCTACTCTCCGCAGCTCGCTCTGCCTTGCGCTAGTCGCTGTGCGAAAGTAGAACTATACGCAGGTGACTCTTCGCAAGTCGCTTTGTGCAAGTCACTCTTCGCAAGAAACTCTGCGTGAGCTACTGCTGTCAGCAAGGCATCTGAATTGCGCCAGTCGCTTGGCGAAAAGTTATGCGCAATACTTTGCACAAGTCATGTTTACTCGAGTCACTCTGCGCAACTTACCATGCGGACTACATGTTTTTGTGCAAAGCACTTTGTGCAAGTTGCTCTTTGCATTTCACTCCACGCAAGCCGATTCTGTGCAAGTTTCTCTGCGCAAGTTTCTCTGCACAACTCACGCTACACAAGCCACTCTGCATTATTAGTCACTCTGCGCAAGTTACCCTGCGCGAGGTCACGCCACGCAAGTCGCCCTGCGCAAGCCACTCTTTGCAAGATACTCGGAGCGAGCCACTGTCCGCAAGTCATTCTGCGCAAGCCAATCTGCACTTACTCTGCGCGTAAGTCACTCTATGCAATCACTTTCCACTAGTCACTTCTGCGCAAGTCACTTCTGCGCAAGTCACTCGCGCACAAGTCACTCTTGCAAGTCATTCGGGGCAAGTCAGCCCGTGCAAGTCAACCTGGGCAATCATTATAGCCTACGCAAGTCACTCTGCGCACGTTTCTTCGCGCAAGCCGTCCTGTGCAAGTAGCTGTGTGCAAATTGTCAAGCTGCTTTTCGCAACTCACTCTACGAAAGTCAGTTTGTGCAAGTTACTCTGGCAAGTTACTCTGCGCAAGTCACTTCATGCGCAAGTCGCTTGAGCATCGTTTTATTATTATTATCATTATTATTATCAGTATTATTATTATCATTATTATTATTGTTATTTAGTGCGCAATTAGCGCGTGCAGTACCTCGCCGCAGCTTTTAAGTACGAAGAAGCATGCAAGGGGCTCTTGCAGCTTCGGCTCAACCATGGACTTTCAAGTACGAAAGCAGCTTGCGAAGTGCACTTTCGCAGCTGCAGCTCGGTAATTGCAACTTCGAGCTACGAAAGTAGCACGCGACGCGTGCTTTCGCAGCTCCGGCTGGAAAACCAAAAGGCTTTTAGCACGAAGCGTAGTACGCGATGCGCGTTTTCATTCTGCGCAGGTAGATCAGCGTAAGTGTGTGTGTGTAATGTACAGAGCGCAAGTCAGTCTGTGCAGGTCACGTACTCAAGTCACTCTATCTGTGCAATGTCACACTGCGCAATAAGTTGCTTTGCGCAAATCGCTCTGCGCGAGTAACTCGACGGAAGCACCTATGTGTCCAAGTCACTCTATGTACGCATTTCAGTTTGCGCGGGTTACTTCGAGCAAGTCTCTTTATGCAAGTTGCTCTGCCCAAGTCGCTCTTAGGTCTTCGCATGTCACTCTTCTTACATCACACTGCGCAGGTCACTTTATGCAAGCCACTGTGTGCTAGTTATACTCTGAGTCTGAGTAAGTCGCTGTGCGCGAAGCACTTTACGCCAGCGCTCTACGCAGTACCTCTAAGCAAGTCGCGAGACACTCCGTGCAAATCACTCCACGCTCACTTTGCACGAGTCCCCTGACGCAACACCCTCTACGAAATAAACTGTATGCAAGTGGCAGGTCATTCCGTGCAAGTTTCTTTGCGCAGGTCACTTTGCACAAGTCACTCTTCACTGTGTGCAAATCGCTCTGGGCAACTCATGCGCTCTGAACAAGTCCCGCCGTGTATTTTTGTTTGCCACGTCAACAAGTGCAGCCTCGAGTGGCCAGACACCGACCATGCGTGAACTGAAATGGGTTGACAATGCGTGTGATGCAATCAAAGGAGAAGATGTAAATTTGTGAGTTCAGCAAGGGGGTCACCAACCACTGGTTGATGCATAGGAGCATGTCCCATGAAGTGCTAGAGAAAAGATCCGTATGACTCCACCAGGTACCAAAATCAAGGGTCATCTCGAAATCGGCGTCGGAGACTGCGCAGGACTCCTTCTTGAAGTTTGCTGGGGAGCAGGAGGATTGGTCTGTGGCCTTGGAGAGCCCGAGCTTCAGCTGAAGCGGCCAATGTAGTAGGTGCAAGCAATGGTTGCCTTCCATTTGCTTAGGAATATTTGCTGCTTTCCCCTGTTGGTTTTAATGGGAATCTAACACTATTGGAAATATGTTTATTTTTTCCAGGGGGCTGAAGCAAATGGAAGTTGCGCAGATGGAAATGGAGGGCGGTGCATGTTGCATTTGGTTTGCCCTTTGTTTTCTAGACGTGCGCCTTTTCAGCCAAGTGACACAAGTCCGAAGATGGTTTTCGACTGCTTCGGAGACATGAACTGTTTCTGTTTGTTTGTTGTCTCCTTTTCAGGAGACCTTGTTTTGTTTTTTGTTCGTCTCCCTTTTCCACGGTTGGAAAAAACGGACGTTTGGGCCTCCGATCTTCCTCGCTTCAATCTCGGAGGCCGGGAGTCGGTGGTACCGGCGCTGGCCAAGAACTGGTTCGTGCCCGAGCAGGCGCCCGGAGGTCAAAAGACGGATGGCAGGGGCTACGCTTTGGGTTAGGGGCTGATGCGTAGACGCACATGGCACCCCTCCTAGCATTGGTTGTGGGTTTGTGGGTACTCCTAACATGGCACCTGACAACAAAAGCCGTAGAGAAGTGGAGTTTGATCTTCCACATACCCTCCAGATGTTATGTTAGTGGGAGGAAGGGCAATGATAATAGAACTATCTTACTATCTTGGTGCAATTTCCAGTGAGTTGCGGACGCCGCTCAGCTAATTGTTTGTGAGAATGAGCGGAGCAGCGTGTAGGTCCGAATGTGAGGCATGCCCTTCATGAGATGCTTCTGAGAAGCCTGCACACCGAATAGGAACACATGTTGCGTGGTTCTCAAACTGGTGGACCCCTTTTGACTGGTCGGTACTTAAAAGGCGACATTTTTTTCAGGGGGCCGACAGGGCCGATTCCCATTCTGAGAAACACCCATGTTGAAGTTGACAAGCACCACTTAGCTCCAAGCACCGCTGGAGAGTGCTCCATTTCGCATACTCCGACTTACTTCATAGACATCAGAGATTTGCTTCTTCACCAACACGGGCCATTGCCAAATTGGGTACCCCTTTCGGGGCGTTGATTTAACTGCTTTCCGGCGTCCCATATTTTGGAAACTCCCAAATTGCATTTGTTTGAGCGTACCTTTTTGGGGTTGTTTGAAAGGACTAAACAGACTCAGTGTGCCTTTTGTGTGTTTGTTTTGCGCTTTTCGGGCTTGCTTAGTTTCCTTTTCAGCCAACAAGAAGCAAGCTTCCGGGGCGTTAAGTCGCGACAGGAACTTGCCAGCCCATTTCGGTGCTCTGACCTCTGGGGACTTGAGTCCTTGTTGGGGAGGGATGGTCATAGATAAAGCACCCAAAAAGGGGGGTGCCACAATTCCCGAGCCATGCTAAGATGGGTTTTGAGGGGATTCCACTTGGGGCCATTGTCCACCAATCCGGGGAAGGTATACATGTCTCAAAATGAGGAGCTCCAAAAAGGACGGTCTCCTTTTGGCTTTCCTTTGGTTAAACCAACCAGTTCCCTAAAAGAAGGACACACCATCGTGTTCCCCGACCCGATTCATCTCCAGGTGCCCCTGGACACGGATCCGGACCCGGAGCAGCTGCGTGTGAGCTTCCCACTTTCGCTGGCCGAAGCCACGGTGGAGCGCCGGAGGTCTCGGAGGGCGGGGGATGGATGAGGTCCATTTGCTGAAGGATAAGGGAATCTATCACTCTAGATTTATCACCAAAAGGCGCCAAAGCCAGTGTCCTTGGGGGGGGTTGTATATATATATATATAGGATATGGTTGGGTCAACAATAGGGTAACCCCAAAATGGCTTGCCCTGGTAAATGGAGTCATGGACTACAACCTGCGGTTTTCTGGTGGTTTAATTTTGACCCATACCCATATGGCCATGGTTCAAAACCGCTTTGGGATCCCATTTTGCGAAAGGTGAATTCACCACCCATTTTAGAACCTATTTTAGTTGGAATAGGCGGAGGCACAGCCTCACAAATGAACGCAAAATTGGTGGCTTGTATTGGTTTGGGGATTTGAACCTCTTGTTCTTGTATCGGGAGAATCGGAAACTTCCCCCTAACCTCCAAGCCATCAATGCAGACCACCAATTCAAGGAATGGCAAGGAACCGTCTATATTCATGGCTGGTCTTTGCTGTGACCCCAAGGACCGCTCAGACCTTTTGGAAACAAATGGCTTTTCCATTCAACCTACAACAGGTTCCACGACCTTTGGCTTAGGGGTCATTGCGTCCATTCTACAGAGATTAGCCAAGTGAGAAAGTGGGGCGGGTTGCCTGTAACCGAACACTTGGACGACTTTGATGGTGGTAGAATAATGGGGCAGTGTAGCAAGTGCAATCTACTGTAGTAAAGGGGATAACATTGGGAACACACACACACACCAAATGGGGAGGGTTACTCACCAAAAGGAATATTGACCCTCTGGCTTGCATGAGGTCGGTCAAAGTTTGCAGTAGTCAAAGTCAAGCATTTTCTTGTACGACGTCAGTCAGAAAACACTACTATATATATATATGTGTGTGTGTCAGTATAGGCGACTTCCCTTTAAATGAACCTGGCTTGCCCCCAAAAGTGCGTTCCCAAAAAGATTCCTCCAGAGCTTGTTGGGCTCTTTCTGATCCGCGGGGCGCCAGATCGTGCGAAGTCGAACTTTTCCAAATTTTAAATCGACTTGACCGGGCCAGTTCAATGTTGAATTTGGGAAGAACAAGGGGCGAAGGAATCGAAAGCTCGATATTTTTTTTCTCGTAGAACAACACCACACAAGGTGAGAGGCCAGCGTTTCCTTTGCCATGTTTGTTTTCTCAAAACGGGGTTCCCGTAGCATGGGAACGGTTCATTGTTGGTTTCCCTTTTTCAGAAACTCCCGCGGAGGAAAGGTTAGAGCCTTTCGTTTCCTTTTTCACTGGGAGTAGTGCCATGGGAAAATCCACTGTTTGCTCGTTGGTTTGAAAGAGGGTAGGCATGTGCCGAAAAATCGGACACCAACAATTGCCGTGTTTTGGTTTCCCTTGAAACCAAGGTGAGAAGGGTGCGGCTCAAACGAAAACACACACCATTTCAACGGGGGCGGAAGAGGGCGCCTAGTAGAGCCGAAATTTGGCTTCCTTGACAAGCCTTTCTTTAGTGCTGCTCCCCAAGCATGGGTCAACTCCCGGGCTTTTCCGCCACTTTGGCTGAGTCTGGGGCAAGGATTGTTCTCCTTAGTTCCTTTTATCAATTTGCGCAATACCCTGTTTGCTGTTCCTTGACTTCAGGGCATGAGCCGGGGAGGTTCCTTCGGCGACAATTTCGCGAGGCCTGACCTTGGCAGAGCCACAGAGTCAGCAGCTGTTGCTCTTTGCGCCCTGGAAGATTGCGGCCGAGGTGAGCGGCCGAGGTTTTCGGATGTCCCAAACACGGAGCCACGAAAAGCCAAGGCGAATTTCGGTTTCAAGGGAAACGAAGGCCTGGGGGTTGGGGGGTTGGGCCCAGAAATAACCTATTTTTCAGGGTAGAGTAAATACCTACGTAGTTTACCGGCGATGGTAAGGCCCTAATTCATACCCTTACGTATCAGTGTAGCACCATGGTCAAAGCATCTTCGACTCGGAGGTGAGTTGTGACGCATGAGAAGGGCCCTGTTTTGGGTTGGCCAGGTGCAGAGCAAGTTGGAAGCGGATGTTCTCAGCTGGATGAAACACTCACAGCACTGCTACAATGAGTCTGCATAATTTGTGGTGAGCTGGGGGTAAAACGAGCTCACCACGGCAAAGATGCTATACTTGGGGATCCCTTCTTTCATCTTTTGGAAATAGGGTAAAATTTGGAGATGAGCGGCTTGTGCGTAAAGTGTGGGCAACAGGGCCAGATGCATTGCCCATGAGCTTTGGATGAACCGGACAAAGTCTGCTTTGTAGGCATCGCGTTGGCTGGAGACTCAGGATTGAGAGGCAAGAGTCAAGATGCTGGCGTGTCTTTCTGGAGCCGATTGGGAGATGGTTGCGGAAACCAAAGTGACACCCCTTTTTGGGGACTCTCCATGAGACAAACCCATACCCACTCAGCACCGCATGAAAAAAGGCTGCAGCGGTAGAGTCAGGGGTATACTATCACAGTCTTGTGTCCTTTGGATGCAAGGCCCTCAGAAGGTGAGAATGAACACGTGCATGCGAGAGAGATCAGGCCACACAGATTTGAGTATGCGCCCTACTTGCCCAACGTCAATGGAGGCGCGGAACTCAAGCTGCTCTCTTTTGCGCGGCACCAGAGTATTCGCGTAAGTTTCATGTAACAGGTCTTTGGCAAGGCTTTGCAGGGTAGGAAAATGCAACAGTGGATCCTTGAAAGTGACTATCAACCAGTATCCATGGGGTTTCATGCATCCCAACTGGTCTTTGTCTATCCGCAGTAAGGTTGCAGGGTGAATTCAAGTGCTGCACCCAAATCCAGTGCTGGCAGGGCGCTTGCCTGTGCCGGGTGACGTGGGAGAGGCCGCAGCTGCAGACGCGATGTGCGAAATTCAACGTGAGGTCTTTTTGAAACTCCCTAAGACGAAAGGTACCCGAAATCAGGAGGCATAGTCACGGCCACCCCGCATAAGGTGTGGGTTGAGACCATCCCCATAAATCTACACTTAGGACGTTTCTGATAGACCTGTGAGCATTTCTCAGCCTGAGTCACTTTAAAAAGAAGTGGCAGAAAAGTACCGTTTTGTCCCATAGCCACCCAGGGATCGGTTGATCTTCAGGACACGATCGAATGGCATGTGCCGCAGACGGTGGAGTGCCCCAAATGCGTGATCGAAGCGCTGCCACTGCTGCGAGGTATTAATTGTAAGGTTCAGCAGAATCAAATCTCATCGGCGCCTAACTACGGTGGATGCCCTACATATTGCAAGTAGTAGAACAAGGAAGCCATTTAATTGACCAAAAATACAATGGTT